TCCAGGCAGTGCAACAGGTTAGGCTGTTCAGGACAGCAGCACATGATTAACAAGACAACCTAAACCCACAAGTTGTTCCTCTTGAGATGTCTCTGAGTCCGTGACTGGTCCCAACGATTCAGCAAGGGTGTGGATCACACTCAGTCCCACAAAGTGACTCACAAAAGTCACAGCCACTTGCACTGTACATCCAGCCACCCCAGTGAGGTACTGGTGCAGAGGGCAGTGCCACTCCCTGACTCATCAGCACCTCCTCCGGCAGCTCAGCCAGTTCTCCCAGGCGCTGTGTATCAACTAGGTCTACACTGTGCATCCACAACACAGAGCTCTGGGAAGCCAATACTGCAACAAAATATTGGCCCTCGGCCTCAAGACCAGCCTCAGATTAGTCACTGAATAACTCAGGATGAATCATAATTTATTATGCCTATGAAGACTGGAAACAATCATATCCTGTGCCGTTGACCCCCATTCACCACAATACCCGTAGTGAGATAAATCAAAGTAAGTAGGAGTTAGCTTCTTATCCCCAGGAGCAACAACACCTTTGAACAAACATAATCTACTCAGGAGTCTTCAGGCTGCTTCTCTCACATGTGAGGTCCTTGCAGTGCAAAAAAGAAGACTTGGACATAAGGAAGGGGACTTGGAGGGGGAACGGGCAAACGAGCTGTGAAGAAAAAAAGTAGAGATGATCAAGAGGAAGTTGCATTTCCAGAAGTTGGAATCTACACAGGTGACTGTTCAGGTGAGGGGTTTCTGTGAAAGGAATGAGTCCATCATAAATCTCTATTGGGCTTTTGTTTCTGCACTCAAGGTGTCAGAGCTGAAGACACAAGGAAGGGCAGGGAGGGATGCTGGTGAGAGTCTTGCATCTGGAGAAGAGGCCAATGACACAAACATATACTCTCTGGCACCTGTATGTTTGTGGCACAGGCCGGATCCATTGCCAGCAGGATCTCTGTAGGTGAGAAGGACAGGAAAGCCAGGCAGTGAGAAGGCAGCTTGGACACATTTCCAAAGTGTATGCCATAGCTTAGGAAGGAGTTACGGGCAAACGAAGGTGAAGGGCTCAGGCCTTAAAATCTCTGAAGAGGTGGTGGAACTGAATTACTTGCATAAGTTGATCATTTTGTTCATCTTGTGCTGCCTCTCCTGAGCTGTCAATAGAGCTTACAGATAAGGGGTGAGGTCTTCCTCTTCTCATCTCCCCTTAGCTCCTACTGAAAAGGGTTGCAAGGGCTCAAGGGCTTGCATCAATCACACCCTTCCTTCACCACAGACCCATTTGACCAAGATTCAGTGGTAACGCCATCTGGGGCCAAAGATTTTCACCTCAAAACTACCACACAGGTTGGGAGCAAGGCATCCTGACCTGCATCCCAGATTGTTTTGGGATTATGTGAGCCCCCCTGGGGAATGTTCAGCAGGAACTGACACTCATCACCAGTCCTGAGAGGGCGCTGAGCAGAGCCAGACACCCTCCCTAGCCTGGGTCCCACCATGCAACACACTCCAAGTATGGAGTGCACCAACAACTCTCAGAACAGCTGGCAAAGGAGGTGTCAGAGCAAGCCCTGATGTACAGCCCTCCTGTGCTGGCATCAGGCTTGCAGGATGCCTTCCCCCTGCTGCATGCATCAGGCTTGGCAGGAGATGGGCAATGGCAGGGCTGGGCACACCTGGGTGCCCCACACACAGAGAACCCTACGACAGCTGGCTGCAGTGGGCAGCCCCAATGCCTAAAGAGATGCTTGGGCACACGCAGGCTAGGGAGAGGGAGCTTTTTTCATTCCCAAAGAATGTGTTTGGGGCATCTGAAAAAGCGAGGTAAAAATATAGAGCACGAACCAGCAAGATTAGTCCCATGTCACAACGCCCAGGTATAGCCCAGAACTGCAGATATTTCCTGATGTCTCCCAGTTGTGGATGGGCAGCACTGCTCACCTGGAAGTATGGAGGCAGCTCAGGCAGCAAGTTTAAAGAAATCTTTATGGAAAAGCTTTTTTTGCCTTGGGAAGCCAGCCTAGGGCAGGTAAACAGGTAGCACTTGCCCAGCAAGCCCACTTTCCTTTATGTATCTGTAATGACCTCACACAGACTGCGAGTTGCTTCTCTGGAGATACTATGCTGAGGTAGGCAGCCAGCAAACATTTGAAGGGGAACCTGACCCTTTTCCCCTTCATGATGCAGAGCCCGTGGGATCCTCCCACCTCCCCAGACCAAAGGGCAAACCTTCCCCAAAACTGTGGTCAGGCACTCTCTGCATTCCTTTCACACCCTCCTTCACTGCTGTGCAGGGGATATCACCTCCCTGCTCTTATCCACAACTCGCCACCTCTTACGAGATATGGGGCACTTGGCTGGAGGTCCAGACATGAGTGCTGGGTTGCTCTGGGATGGCCAGCAGCTCAGACCCCGTCATGCAGGGTGTCAGGTGCTGTGGGGAACAGCAAGGGCCAGCAGCTGCTTGTGGGGTGGCACAGTGCCACCAAGGCCACACTGGCCTGGCCCCAGAGGGGGAGCTGGGAGCAAGCACGGTGCTTGCCCAGACCAGGACTGCAAAGCTTGTGCTGGACGATCTGGATTAGCCTTGAATTTCAGCCATCCCAAGCATAGACAGACTGCCTGCACACTCCCCACATGGACTACTATAAAAATACCCATCTCTCACTACCAAAGGTCCCATGGGCAGACAGTGGAGGACATTGCCTGTGAAATGAATTTCCTTTGGGCTTCCAAGGTCCTTTGAGGGACCATGCTGAAGGACAGGAGATTTACAGGCATTTCTAACACAGGCACTATAGGTGGTGGTGGAGGCCAAGCAGAGCCAGGCTGACTTACTGACCTGATGAGCACAAGACATCAGCAACAACGGGTTAAACCACCTAGCAGGTGCCAAAAGGGAGAGACAGACAGGGCTTCCAACCAAAAGCACTCTTTATTCCATTGCCAGTGGGATTTTCTGCCCAGGGCACCCTTTTCTGCCTTTCACGGTGCCTCTGCTCTCTGAATCACACAGAATAAATGCAGCAGGCACGAGGAAAGCATCAGCTGGCTGCCTGAAGATAGCATTTTAATTAGCCAGCAACCAAAAGGTGGATGTGACCAGAAGCCTTTCAGGGAACGTTCTCATGCACAGGGTGAAAAGGCTGTATGACAAGATCAGAGTGCCAGCCCGAAAACCTGGCCTCCCTCCACGTGTCCTCACCTCACCTCGGGCCAGGGCACAGCTGAGCCAGGTGTGAACTCTGGGTAAGGTGAGCAGCAGCTTCTCTCCTACATCCCAGACTCTCCAAAGGCAGAGTTCTCAATCATGTACAGCCTCTCCAACCAGCCTGAGCTCACTTCCAACACCAAGCCATGATCACTTTCCTCACAAGAGGTGACAGCCCAGTTATACCCACCCTGGAGAATAAAGAAGAGTTGGACTGCTTCCAAGGCCCCCAGTAATCCCGTCAGAGCTGGCTTGGGCAGGGTCTTGCTGCAGTTGTTTGAGGCAGCTACCTTGGCTCTGCTGCATCCACACTAACAAATTCTGTGAGTTGTCCCATCTGAAATACGCCATCCAACCACTGTCTCATGAAGTAGGTGGCTACCAGGTCACCTTGCTCTGTAGATATCCTACTTCTCCTGAGCCCTTAGACGTAGGAAAAGAAAGGGGCACCAGGAGTAGCCAATCCAGCTTGCTATTGGTTTGATGTGTTTGGTTTGATGGGTTGATGAGGGTTTGACGTGTTGTGACTGACAGGAACATGCTGACTCATCAATCCAGAAGACCTGGGTCTTTCACATCCAGCTTAGCCCAGGGGAGGAAGCACTTACCTGCTGGTTTCAATTTTTCTAATTTGATTACTTGTAAACATTCCCCAGGTCACAAACAAGCAGTGCAAGTCTCCTGAGGATAGGCTTGCTGTCTTCATCACCTTGCACAGCCACAAGCGAAAAGAGCCCATAGATCCACAGAGAACAAAAGCCACTGGTGAGTTAATAAGGGAAGCAACTCCTTGGGTTCATCATGCAGAAACATCCAGATGGCTCATGTTCTCGCTGCTGCAGTCCATAAGATGTTACTGAGCACAGTGAACCAAAGTGTCCTCAGGTAGTCATCCTCTTTCCTCTGCTTCACCCTCTGATGAGGCAGTGACTGCAGGTCCACCTGTTGAGCTACCTGAGTCCATCCTAAATAGAAGCCATATTCTTTACCTTTGTAAGAGCAGGAATGGTGCAGCCATGAACTCAGTGGTCTGTATTACTCCGAGTGAATCACCTCCTAGACATCCAGGACACATCCTGCATGCTCCTTTCCAGTGCGGACAGATGACTGACACGTGAGACATTCATCTCCATGGATGATGAGGAAATGACACCACTGCCAGAGGTTTTCCTCCTAGACCCCAAAGCACATCACAGAAGATGCAATCGTATCAAGATCTCTCATGAAGTGATGAGCACTGTTTCTTGTTCAACGTTGTCCAGGATGGCAAGGTCTGGCTGAGCCATCACTGACAGAGTTACATACACACAAGTCCAGCTGCAAACACCAAGTCCATTACCAGAAAGGGCAGGCTCACAGCATTACTTTCACCTTGGCTTGTAAATTCCACCAAGAGATTGCATCTACTCATGCCTGTACAGTAGCCAGCTCATGGGACTTGGCTGCTGACAAGAGAGGCAGGGCTGGGACCATCACCACACTGCTCGGCTTCAGGCTGGGAAGGAACCCAGGAGTCCTGCCCCCTTGGTCCTGCCTGTCACACCACCCTCTTCTCACCAAGCAGGAACTCGGGCTGAGCTCCACACAAGGACTCTGGTGCCTACCTCCCATTCATTTCAATGGGTTTTAGGTACCTAGATGCTTTTGGAAGCTCTGGGCCCACATCACAGTCCAACCGGTAGGTTGCTGATGCCCTGTAGCCTCCAGAGGCAGTGCTGGAGAAACTGTTACACAATGGAAGAAAACCAGGATGCAAGGCAGAAGGAGAAGGCAAAGGAAATCGAGGTCAGAATTAAATTCTTTAATACAAAAAAAAAGTTTGTTTGTCGTCGTCGTTGTTGTTTTAAGATATATCTGTAATTTCTTTGTTTAAAAATAAATATGTACTAAGGAATATCTTGAAAAAATTCACTAGACACAATATGTAGTGTTAATATCTTTTTTCCCCGCAATTATTACAGATAAACAGTAGCACCAATAAATAAAATGATAACAAATATTAAAATTAAAAAGGAGAGAGATTCAAGATGTAGAATTTTCTATTTTTTCCTGTTTCTTCTTTTTACATATATAAAAAAATCGTAGTGTCTATTTAATCCGAATCACACATATACATAAACATATATATATATACAAACACATAGCCAAATATATATATAGTATGTAGATGTATATCTAACCGTTGTCTCAATAGGAATGTGTAGGGGTAGGTGTTAGAGAAATTAATTAAATAACTGCCCATAACATGCTACTGACTCTGCCAACAATTGGGGAGAGACGGGATGGGACAACAGGAAGGTTAAATTTATACACAACCAGTACAAAAAAAAAAAAAAAAAAAAAAAAAAAGGAGGTACGGCTTATAAATAGTTGAAATTAAATATTAACAAAGAATACTGAAAAATCCCTACTCTTTAATTAAATTATCTGTTTAATTTCTAATTTAAAAAGGGATATTAAATAAGTATATAAAACACTTTCTCTTCCCTCCCCCGATCGGAAGCCTCTGTCTTGCACACGATGCAGCATGAGTATTCTACATTGCAGATGCAAGCACCCACCCGTGTGTTTTCTCTCCTTCTGAAAGCCATCAGTCGGATGGGGAGATCCTAGTGGTTAGTAGTCGCTTGTTGTGAGTCTGTTTTTAGACTGTCTTGTCTTTTTGGAAGCTTTCCGTGTTGTACATTATCAGGCGTTGAAAATTCAATTGCAGATGATGTTTGGCAGCATTCTGACACAGACCGAGTACCTTTTTGATGATTATTATTATTAATAATAATTTTAATCACAGAACTAGATTATATATATCCACATAGATGTACAAACACACTTTCAGGGGGGTGTGTGTGTGCGCGCGTGTGTAAGGTGGGTTTCACGTTCACCACAGCCTACACTGCAGATACACACATAGCCAAGAACCTCACGACACAGCTAAGGGACTCCAGCTGTCTTCACATTTGATTCCCCAGCCCAAGACATGGAAAAGGGGCCTGATATTTACAGTACGTCATTAAAAAAAAAAAAATCTTGACGTTCTTAAGGGTCATTCACACTGGGCACACAAACTGAAGGCAGCAAAAGTTGCTTTCTTTTTTCCCCCCCTTCAATCTTGGCATACATATATATTATTTTTTTATATATATATATGTATAAAAATAAATATATATATATAAAAAAGAGAGAAAAACGCATACATACATACATACATACATACATACACACAAATGCATACATTCACATACATACACACACACCCCCACTACTGTGTATATACTTTTGATTAATATCCCTTTCCAGAAATGTTCCATAAGCATCTTGGATGCTCTTGAGTGGCAGCTCTGTGCATGAAGAAAGCAGACAGTGCTGAATAACTGTGTGGCTATGCACCGGTCCCCATTCTTGCTTCAGCACACTGTAGACCTTGTGTCCTTCTGCAGCCACCAAGGGCGGGAAATCTAGACTCCTGTGATAATTCCTTGAACAGAAAGTCAGTGCGCATCAGCTGCCCACCATCCTTAAGAGAAGCCAGCATGTCTCTCTGGCAAAGGTTCTACAGCGAATAAAGTCAACGCAAAATGTACACTGACATCCCATGTCCCAGCAAGGCAGGCAGGTTATGAGACGAGTAAGGTTGGGGGAAGAGAGGGGAGGAGGAATCCTTGATCACGGAGATGGCCATTTCCTTGGCCTTTGACCCATCGCACCCTAGGATGCCGCTCTTTGGAACTCCCTGCCCATTCTCTCCATCACCTCTCCTCCCTGTCCCAGGCAAGGAGAAGGTGGTTTGTGGTACAGCACACTCTACAGAGAAACAGCGGAGGCCGCACAAGTCAGCTAGAGTTAAGAAGTTTACACCCAGCGCTTCTACTCAAGTCCAGTCTTAGCTTGTTTCTTATGCCCCAAGTAGCCCGCTTGTGTCCACAGCAGTCGAGTATTATCCAGTGAAGACACCAATAACATTAGCAATGTTAAAAAAAATAATCAGTATATATATATATATATATATATTATATATATATGTGTGTGTGTGTGTGTGTGTGGTTAAGATATACATATATGTATATATAGATGTGGTTAAAATATATATACATATATATATATGTATATGCATGTATACACACATATATATGTATGCATGGGAAAACCCATCAAATACACCCCTATAAGTCTTCCTGGCTCCGTTATTTAGCAGCATAAAAAGAAAAATAAAATAAAACAGTTCAAAACCCAAAGGTGAATTCTGTGCGGCGGGTGCCTTGGGGAATGTTCCTTCCGGAGTCCATCGTCCGTACTGAAAGTGCTGTGCTCTACCGATCCTTCATTTTTAGGGTTCATTTGGATTAGTGTTTTGTTTTGTTTTATTCTGTCCAGGCGAGAAATCAGGCTCCAGAAACAGGGCTGTTTCCCCTTCTTCTCCGCTGCTCACCGTCTCGGTTTTTCACATCTGTCAAAGAGGAGAAGGAAGGAAAAAAGGAGAATGGGGTTAATGTTTGTGATGGGGGTGCAACTAGGGCAGGGAAGGGAAGGAAGGGTGGTGGCTAATGTGTTTAAGAGCACATGGTGTTAAGACATGGCATGACGTCACTGGTGGGGTGAAGGGCTGTGCAGATGGGGCAAATCAGCTGAGAATCTCGACCCCAAAACGAGTCAATTAATTCTATTCCCCCAGGTTCACCTAGGCAGAGCAGGGGGGATACTCAAACAGACGTAAATTTTGGAGCAGAATCAGTGGCTTCCTCACAGATAAGCTGAGTGTCATGTTTGCATCTTTGCACACCATACACACAAATACACACAAACACAGGAAAACAAGGCTAAGCAATGCATGCAGAGACACACCCTCGGCCCTCCACCTAGCCTCTTGTTTGGGTTGGAAGCAGTGCAGAAAACAAGCCTCATGCAGGCAAGAAGATGAAAAGCAAGTGCTTTGCATTCCACTAGCTGCTGTGAGTGGGGGTTAGCACCAGAGAACAGCAGTGGCTGAAGAGGCAGCAGGAGAAATGAGAAATTTACCCTCCCCTGTAGGTCCCAATTCTAATTCTACAAGAAAGAGCAAGAGGAACTTCAGCTTAACCAGCTTTTTATCTGGGAACTGATAAGCTAACCACTCCTATGACTCCTTCCCATTTTTCTGGCCAACACATCGCCTCTGGAAACCTCCCTTAGTGACAACTATCCCATCACAGAGAGGGACTAGTAAGTGAAACTAGCAAACCCCTTCTGCCATCATGATTTCTTTGGGGTATTTTTTGGTTTTTCATTGTATTTGTTACTATTTCTCACTCTTCAAACTCTGCGGGGTAATTATCAGTTACTCTGGACTTTGGGAAAAGGAGCAGGGGGGAAAAAGCCAACATTAAGTCTGGTCTCAGACTTCAGGGGTTTTGCTCATTAGGAGGAGTTTAAGTCCAGAAGTTGCTCTATTCTGGCCCCTCCATCAATTACTTTCCCACTGAAATTACAGCGCCCCAGAAAAATTCTCTGTATACAGAACAGTTTCCACCATGCTGGCAGTGCCAATGCCTCTCTGGGTTGGACACAAAGCATTTTCACACCCAAAGGAAGCACTTGCAGCTTGTATCAGCCTTAGCCACCTAGCCAATGGATGTCTCCTCTTTTCAAGATATAGCCAGAGAGGACCCTGGATCTCTCTCCCTTCTATTCTCCCCTTGAGCCACTGCCACTGAAATACTGCAGGAACAGGAACACAATCTCCTAGATCTCTGTGAAAGGGATCCAAATTCAGAGTCACAACCAAGTGCTCATTAGCAACCCCATTTCTATGTTTGCCTCTACACAGGCAGGATGATCCCACACCAGAGGTGCACACATAGCTTGTGCAAGTCAAGACACCCCACTGAGCTCCCGAAGTGCTCAGGTGAGAACCAGGAATCGGTTTCTTTGATTCTGTGCCACAGATGGTGTGTGACAGCACTCAGATGACACATGCACAGCATGGATCTCTGAACTAACACTAACTCCACAATGTCTCCCAACTCACACCTGAAATATGCACCTCTGTGCTCACCCAGGGTCAGACCTAAATCTGCTGTATTCCATTCACAATCCTGAGTGCAGCCTCTCAAACCACAACTCTGGACGGACATGGACAGGGAACTGTGAGCACAGTACAAGAAGACGGGGTGCTCTCCCTGGCTTTTAGAAGAACAAAGAGGCAAAGGAGAATGTAGGCTCAGCCTTGAGGGATGCTCCTAATGGCTTTCCTCATTCTACACACAGCAGAGAACCTATAAGATACAGAAAAAGGGCTTGGAAGACAGAGGTGGTCAAATCCTAGTCAGTTAAGGATTTGTCTTTGTCCAACAGTATGCTCAGAGTTGCATACAGGTAAGGTACAGAGGGATACAGATCCTCTCCCCTACCTGCCTCAGCAACGTGAACTCCATTATCCTATTCTATGGTAAAGAATACCTGAGATACAAAGGGCCTGTCTCTGCGAGCCATCCCCATCCAAGTCCTGAGAGCACACCTGAAATGCACAGCTGCCCTCTGACACAGGGAAACTCTGTCCTCACCTCAGTTAGTCCCTCTGCTCTCTGGCCCATGTAGGACAGAGAAAAGAAGTAATCAAACAGCACTGGTGCCAGAAGTCAGCAGGAAGCAAGCTCCCCCCCCTCTTTCTCTTTCTCTCTCTCTTTGTGTGTTTCATCCTTCAGGACACAAACCTGCAAGTGCGCTCGTTTAACTCAAGCTGCCTCGACTTGCAACGTGAGTCTGTGAATTTGCAGGAACATTTACAGGTCTGGGGATCTTGTACAAACAAGTGCTTTCTCCTCTCTGAGCAAGGCTCACAGTGACTGCAAAAAGGCAAAAGGAAAGATGTCTAAGCTACAGCGCTTCAGCAGAAAGAAAATACACATGCAACACCCTGAACATCAAAGCAATCCCCTTGCCCCCTCCCGCAGCCCCCATGCTGCCCACTGGAGTGCCGCAGGCTGATGGATTTTCCAGCAGCACCTCGACAGCCCCAGGACAGCAACCCCTTGCATTAGCGTAGAGAAAGAAAACAGGCCTTCTGCACAGTATTCACAAATGCTGCATTGGATCCATCGGCTCAGGCCAGAGGGAGGAAGAAGGGGAAAGCAAGGATGGGAAGGTGAGAGGCCCCAGCCAGCTATTGACACATCAGTGAAAGGAGTTCTCTGAAGTGGACTATTCGAGTAGAAAGAGGCCAGTGGCTAAACGAGTTAAATACAGAGGGTCCTCCTCCCCTGGAAAGCAGCTGGGCTCCAGCATCACATGCTGACTCCTTCAGCCAGTACTGCCCTCCTTTCTGTAAGCCCCATCCCAACCTTGCCACCTTGGAGTCTCCTATGGAGGGGCCGTGAATTTACAATGCAGAATTTTGTGAACCACCATGAGAGAAGCACAGCAAAAGAGACAGGGAAGAGACAAGCCACCAAATCCAGCAGAAAGAGAGAAAAAAACAAAAACAACAGACAGAGAGCCCACCCCCAGCTCCCCAGCACCCTTCTCTGGCTTCCCGCTGTCCCACTTCTCCTCTCCACCTGTGACTCCACCAGACACGCACACACATGTGCACACGCACACACACACACACTCACATGCACGGCAGATGCCAGCCTGCCTGTCACCAGTCATCACAGCAGTGAGAGCACGAGACAAGTGGTGGAAAGCAGATGACAGAGTTGCAACCGGAAGGCGTGAAGAGGTGCAGGGTACTCGTCCACCCACCACACTCTTGTGCCTTGGGACAATGGCCGCCAGTGATGATTAGAGAACCAAGCAAGCTAAAGCCACCTTCCCTGAGATAGCCTTAGTGCCAGAGCAGTGCCACCACCAGTGCTGCCCCTGCAGGATCTGCAGCCCACCAGTGACTGGGAGGGGAGGGTGAGATTTGAGCGAGCAGCAAGCAGGCAGATTGGTTTGGGAGAGGGAGGGAAGAGACTCTACAAGCAGAGGACACAAACGTACAAGCTGAGTGGTTTGTACCGGCCTTTCTTGCGCTTTCTCTTTTGACCCTTCCCCCTTCCTCGTTTTGATTTTCTGGAAGAAAAACAAAAAAAAAAAAAAAAAAGAGAAAGAGAGAGAGGGGGAAAGAAAGGGAGAGATAGAGAGAAAACGGAAGAAAATGCAAGGAAGAAGAGAAAAAAAATACAGCCATGTGCCTTGCTGGGAGGGGAGAAGCACATGAGGCAGGATTGGAGGGTAAATCCCAGGGCCGAAGCACAGATCTCCACCTTGCACACACATTCACCGGCTTCGGCGCTCCTGTCAGCTCCGCCACCAGCCTGCTCAGAGCCAAGCCAACACCAGGGAACTCAGCAGAGACCACCTCCTGCAAGGCTGCTGCGAGCAGAGGCGGATCTGCTGGAGCCTCAGACGGGCACCTGCCCCCTCCAGAGAGGGCCAGTGGGAAAGGGGCAGGGGGTGAGAGGGAGAAGGAACAGAAAGCTTTGTGAAAGCATCACGCCACCGCAGTGAGTGCAGACAATCATTCCAGGCGACAAGCACAGGCGCACAACGACTGACAAACGGCAACCTGAGTGAAAGGGCTCTCTTTAGGGAAGAGGAAACCACTCTGACCTGATGCACTGCCCAGCACTGAGCCTAGGAGGGGGCAGCTGAGCTCCAATAGCTCTGCTGCCGGGCGGGTGGCAATTCTGCCTTGAGATGGGAGCAGTCCACAGACAAGGGAAGAGATCTGATCTACACAGCACTGCTGTGTGGGAGAGGGCTATCCAATCTGAAGGCTTTACTCATCCACCTCACTTCCTGCCTGTGGATCAGAGGACTCCAGGAGACCTTACTTGGATGTCTGTAACATCCCTTTTGGCTGCCTCCATTCTGAGTACTGAAGAGTAAAGAGGGGGAAGAGGATGGCCTGACCTAGTTATTTTACCCAGGAGATAATCAGCAAGCAGTTCTACTTTCAGTTCTTCCCTCCTTTCCTTCCTGTCACCTTCCACGTGGATCTGCCAGACAAGCAGATGGAGCCAAGGCACTGACTCCATTCTGAAAAATTCACCAGTTTCACCAGTTGCCTCTGATTCTTGGGCAGGAGCTGAGCAGGCAGGGGCTAGGACACGCAGTCCTGGACACTAACCATGGATCCCATGGGCCATTAAGAGCACAGGGAGCGAGGGAGGCTGGAGCCCATACTGCTCCTTGAGCCACATTAGCACAGGAGCAAGGGAGAGACATGCAAGGAGAAGGCCCTAGGCAAAGCACCAGGGCTTGTCAGGCAAATGAGTCCCAGCTCTGAGGCAGTTCAGCAAAGGCTCCCTCGTTCCCTGGTGCAGCCCACCTCGGGAGAGAGCTGTCAAAGGGAATTGGAGGGACAGAAGAGAAAGCACCATAGGTGTCTCCTATGCCCTGTTCAAGTCGTCTCACTGGAAGGAGTGTCAGAGCATCAGCTCAATCCCGGTTCTGCCCTACATGTCAGGCAGGAGTCACAGGGACACGGTGAGGGGAAGAAAATCAACCTGAAGGGAGGAGAGGGGTACCAATATAACAGCACAAATATTCCAGCACAAATCAAAGCACACCAGTCTCTCCCATCCCTTCCCTTCCTTCCCTGGGGAGTGCAGAACCAGCAAAGAGCAGGCAAGGTGCTGTTAGAAGAGGAAAGTGAATGCAACACAGTCCGAGCTGGCTGCTACACCCACACCCCATCCTCACCAGAGCTCACACAGACCAAACTCTCGCACACCTTCAAACTACAGAGCCACACAGACCGACCGTCCCCAACACGGCCCTGTGCAGAGAGGACTGTAGGCTGCACGCAGTCTGATGCAGCCAGGAGCAGATTTCCGGGGAAGGAGGAGAGGCTGGAAGGCAGCTAGAAACATACAACCACCAGGAGAGGGGTGAAAGAAGCTCTCTCTCTCTCCTGTTTGCTCCCTCTGTCTCAGATTCAGCCTCATCTCCAAATATTCACTCCTTCCTCTCCAGCTCCGCACCTCTGAATGGCAGAGTTGCTTTCCCAGTCATGAGCAGTCCAGCTGATCCGCTCGCTCAGAGAGATCATTCTTTCTTTTCAACGTTGTTTCGTATTTTATGCTCGTCCCTGCAACTACTGCAGGATTAGAGCTTATTTCGCTACTTTCCACAACCTTTTTATTTTGGGGGGGAAGTAAACGGAAGGTTGTGACTTAACCTCCTTCAGGCCACCAAAGCAAATCCATTAGATTCAAAAAACCCTTCATGAAAGCTTTCACCGAGACCCAGCTAGGACATCCACCTCCCTTTACACCCTCCCAGGTCCCCACCCAACCAAAACCAGCATCACATTCTGCATGGTATCAGTCCTGCCTCCACTAGGCCTCTACTTCCACCTCTCCCTGTAGCCAGCAGAGTTCCTACCAAAGCTGCTGTGAAAGAAGCCAGCAAGTACTCACTCAAGCAGCAAGAAAAAAATTAATAATAAAGAAAGGCAGCAATTTGCAGTAACCAGAAACACCCCAGGAAGAGGGAAGGGGAGAATGGGGGCTGCACCTTGAATCCATTCCAGCAGGACAGACACGATGGGACTTCCCTGACTCGGGAAAAAACATTAGGAATGACTGCCATGGCCATGGGTCATGCAAGGTCCATGTCTGGGGTATGAACGAAGGACCATCAGATCTGGGTTTCTGTGACCACCTGGAATGGATTCAGAGCATTGCCCCATGGAGTACCATATGCCATTTCCAAAACACCTTCTTAAAGTGGGAATATCCAACCAAAGAAAAGGGCAAGGGGCAGTGGGGAGAGGAAATGCCAACCAACCACCAAAAGAGAAAGGAGGAAAGGCTTGTCACTTACTTTTCTTGTTTGTTTTTGACATCTTTCTTTGGTCTGTGGGAAAAGACAGAACAAAGGCCTCATTAGAAGAGAGTTTATTCCATATACTTCTGGTATTATCCCCAGTTCCCACCAAGTCCAGGGAAGGACATGTACAGGTAGCACTGCAGGATGCTCATAGCACAGGTTAAGTAGTCCGTCTCAAAGTGTTTTTGCTCTCCTGTTTGACCCTTTGACTAGTGCCAAAAGATCCCAGGATGCAGGCTAGCACTGTCCACCTGTGATAGCTAGAGATGGAAGAGCCCTGTCAGCAGAGGGCTTCTTTTCCCAGGCTCAGCCATCCCACTGCAAACCAATCGAGAAGGCTGCAGAAGCATCTGAACAAGAGACCCAACCCAATGGCAGAAAAAAGGAAAGGCTCAGAGTAAGTTTATTGCAAAAGGAACCAGTGCTGCTCCATTCTCACCTGCAGTCACATTTACTGTGCTGTAAGAAGCTCATGTGTGATATGTGCTGACTCTGATGGGGTTTAATTCTCATGATCTGGAATGAAAGAAACAGAGGGTCACTGCCTGTTCACTCCTCATATTCACAGCTCCAAATCAGGCTGCTGTGCAGCAAAGCACTCACGCCCCAGGTGCTCCTGGGAAGAACAGGGCAGAGTTCGAGCTAGCTCTGAGGCCCCGTTCTCCCAGTCAGGGAAGGCCTTTGATCACAAGCGAGCAGCAACACCAGACTTGTGCCAAAGCTCTGTTTGCTCGTGCATGCCCAGTGCCAGCACTGGTGGACTGCCTTGGAGAAAGGCATGGGAGAGGGTGTACCACCACAGCAAGGTTCTCAGTGAGCCCTCCCTGGCTGATGCTGGACAGCCAGTAGCTGAACATCCAGCCTGCTTGTGCAGAAGCCATGCTTCAGTCTCACACAAAGGTCTCAATCAAAAATTCCAAATCCAACTCCTTTTCCTTAAGCCACCCTTCCTTCTCAGCTGACATCTCACTTTCTCAGTAACTTGACATACAAAACAAATCTGGAGATCTGCGTTTAAAAGAGAGCTGCAAAGCCGGACATCACCCAGACCCCAGACCCAAGTACCTTCAGGGAAGTTATTTACAAGCTATTGTCACATTCTCTTAACCCAGCACACGGCTGGAAAACTAGCTCTAGAGATCTGCTTAAGTGCTTCTGAACCCTTTACAGGCATGCAGGCATACTAGTCAAGAATTGTAATTCAGCAAGGAATAGTAGGAAGAAAACCATTCCTAGCTACACCAAGCTAGTATGCTCTGCCCCAGGCTGGAGTCTGCAAGTGGAAAAGCAGTATGGGGAACCATGAAAGGGCACAGGCAGGCTCTCCAACAGAGTTCAAACACAGCCCATATTTCAAGTAAAAGGACCTTCTGGTTAATCACTTAGCACTACACATCTCTCACTGGTATTAAAAAGTGACAGTAACATTTACAGTGGCTGTTCAAGAGGCTAAGGGACAAAAGTGGTGGAGGAGCTATGGGTTATGAGTAATGGGCACCCGCATGATTTTGGACAAGTGCTGGGATCCAGTATGACAAACAAGGGAAGTAACTAAGCTCTCTGAAGCAATTTGCATCTTTCCCCATAGGCCCAGCTTTTGCTATCGTGGCCACCTTTGTCTCTTCCAAGAAATAAATTCAGCAGCATCCAAACAAAAGAGGAAGATGCCCAGAGGCAGAAAGGCTTTTCCAGCTGACATAGAAGCAGTTTGTTTCTTAGAGCCCCTTTAACCTCTGCTGTGCCAGGATAGCTAAAGACCCAAATTCCCTGCTCTGTTGGTCCAGGCTGACCTCACATGCCCTTCAGGAGAAAGTATTGACAGGTTCTCCCCTTTTGCCCTACTCAGCTGCTTTCAGAACAACAGCTGTGTGTGGAGTTAAGGTGGAACAAGGGCCCAAGGAGTATCTTCTTTGGGAATTCTGAGATAACACCATCAGAAATGCTCCTTTGCAGAAACGCTCCTTTGCATGCTCCTACCTACTCTATTTGGGCAAGAGCCAAAAAACAGACTCTCCTCTTAGCCTTAAACAGACATAGGCAACTCATCTTTTAACCCTGCGTGGTTCAATACGGAGCACCAGAGTCAGAAAAGAGGTTCCCTGGGGAAGGTTGTACTTTCTCTGAATTAGCTGGGAGCTGGGACTTGGGGTGGTTGTGGTGGCTGACTTGCTTCCTTCCAACCAAGCACGGCAGATTGCACACTGGACCCTCACCTCCATGGTGACGTTGTACACATCCACAGGGACACATTCTAGGCCCTCATCGCCGCAGCAACCCGCACATCTCATCAGAGGCACACAGGATGGCTTGAATATGTACTCCACCTCATCAGGGTACTCCTGGAAAATGTCCACCAGGGTCTCAATAGTCCTGCAGAAGCTGCGCTCGTAGACTTCCAGGAATTTGATAACTAAAAGAGGAATGGAGGGAATAAGTTAATGCAAACTTAGCTCAAGAATGTCTAGTGCTTCACCCCTTAAAGTGAGCCAGACAGTTGCAACACGACTACCCTATGCTCTTCACTAACAGTCTTGCAGACCTAAATCCTTTGTCTGTGCTCTATATACATACACATCAAGTGGGAAGGGGAAAAGACAATCTCCTCCTGCAGCTGCTTCAGGGCAAAGGCAAGATGGACAAGAGAGCCTCACTGTTTGCCTCCCTGGTACCATGATGCATGCCACAGGTAACTCTTCCCCAAACCTCTTCTCTGCTATTCCCCATACTCCCGATATGCTGCCACTAAGAACATCAGTTCAACCAAAAAAAAAATTGAAGCTGCAGCAGATAATCTGCGCTCTGGATTAAGGCCCTTCACTGGTTTGCTCTTTACTTCCTTTCAAAACAGCCAGTGGATGCCCTAGTGGGTTTTAAAGCCAGAAGCATCCTTTGTACAGACCTCAGCACACAGACACTTCTAAGAGAAATCAGAGGTTCTGAACTATGGAGCTATGCATCTTCACCTTTTCTATCATCTACCTCTTTTGGCCATGCAAAACATCCACCTCAGCAGGTCACCAAGGAACCATGACAGCATCCACTACAAGTCACAGCCTCCATGTCTCCACACTGACCACTTTCCCAGAACCAAGCCACCCACTGAAAGATTCAAAGTAGGCTCACGGCATCCCCACGATTAACCAGACTATATATTTGGCTACTGAACCACAATGAGACAGTGTGGGAGGGGGAACAGGGTGGATCTGCCATTATCCCATGCCTTCCCAACAAATGGAGCAAACACTAACTGCTTGCGATCTGCACTGATTTCACAAGTATTTCTCAATGTTTCCCAGTCTCTTGCCAAAGCTTCATTTTGCTGCTTGGTCAAGGGTTGGAGAGATTTAAAGAGATGAAAGATAGTATAGATAAAGACACACACACACAAACCCCAGGTGCTAGTATAGTACTGCAAGCAGTGAGTACCTGGATTCCTCCAGGCCTCCTAGCTCTAGCACCACAATGGCAACAAAGGATGTCACATGTAGCAGAGGATAAGAGTATGCACAAGGAGATAGTACCTGCCCCATGCTGTTATGCACTATAATGATCCACCTGTACAGTATGCAGAGTCCTCCAGCACCAAGGTTGATAACTCAGAGTGATAAGAGCAAACTGCTTGCATCATGGAAAATAATGGTCTCCAGTAAGCGTTTCTAAAGTGCCCTGAACTTGTGACAAACTGGCATAAAGGTTACTTTGCCACAAAAATGCAAAAGCTGCAGGGCTTGGAGCTCACAGCCCGCAGTTAATTGTTGAAAGTTAATTCTAGGTCATGCAGGGCTGACAGTACCATAGTGCTGAAGTGCTGAGAGCGGGTACAAGAGGGGAGGAGCTTCCATCCAAGGAGTTTTAAGTGTCAGAGAGCATGAGCAGCTATTAAAAGAGAAAGTGGCTTGTGAAAGGGAAATGCAGCCTGGCAGGCACGGACTGCTTGTTGGTATTCCTTGTCTAGAAGACAACATGTTTCTGTTCCTTGTTCCTTTCCGTCCTTTTCCCCCGTCCCCTAACTGCCGTATGTCTCCTCTCTATTCTCCTATCTTGTCTGTGACTACCTCCTTCTCCTCCTTCTTCCTGTTCCCCTTTGGAGTGATCTTAGTCACCGCCTATGTTCCAACAAGTTGAACAATTTAACATGTGGGAAATTCTGTGGGCACAAAGATAGTCGCTGAACTGCACTGTTGATTATTCACACTGTGCCAGACACAGAATCTGAGAACTCTGGCAGTAAAGGTATAATTCAGGATAAAAATGCTCCCTTGCCTACGTCAAGGGGAGGGCCGGAAAGTAAGAGGGAGGGAACACAGCAGTTACCTGTGCAGATCAAATGCTGCTCACCACACCAGTCTGGGGCATAAAGGAGGCAGAAACCGAAAGAGACTAGAAAAGCGAAGTGAAACTGACATCTGCCATGCCTTCCTAAATGTTTGCACTACCCTTGCATTTGGATTACACCAGAGAACCCAGATTAGACTGGCCCCAGAACAGCACATTCAACTTCTTTTGCAGGGACTTTACTTTCACAGCTGCACCCTGACAACTATACTTGAGATCTGGGAGATTTGACAGGACTAAATCCTTCACATGAAGAATCTGGGAGTTTCTACCTTTACTTTAACACATGATGGTTTTTCAAAGTCTGAATCAGCCTCTGAAAAGGAACCAGTGAATCTTTCCCTAGCTGCCAGTCGGAAAATCCTGCCGCAAAAGGCACGTCACCTTACTTTGCTGGACACAGAGCATTCACATGGAGACTGCGCAATGCTCTGTAGTTCATTTGCACAGTCACCACCCAAACCAAACCGGAGCACATGACTGAGGTACAGTCAACCTCACAGAAAAGCCCTGCCCCTTCTACCATACCTACAGTTACTCCTATGTACTGGAAGTTATATTCCACACTTTGCTGGGCTGATTCTGCCTGTGCTTCCTTTCCATTGGTTGTGTCACAAATGGAAGAAGGTCTCTTTCATGGGGAAGTACAGGAAGGTCACTGAAGGACTAATACCACTAGGTCTGTTCCCTTCCTGCAATCTGGGCTTCAGCCCACATTAGAAGTTAATCCCACAATTAAGTCACACTCCTACCCTGCAAAACACCTCCAGATTTGAGTCAGAGGTTCTTTGCTGTGAATGGAGGGGGAAATAAGGTTAAAATGCAGACAGGACCCACATTAACTCTTCAAGGTGTAAGTTCAAATTTGAAGCAGTTGAGTGAGAACACGTCGGACTAGAAAAGGAGAAAATCTATGATCATTTTGTTTCCCTCCCCATCAATGGCTTAGCAGCAATAAAGACATACTGTTATTTTAAAAATAAAAGTGCAGCCACAAGTGCTGGTGGTTTCCTTTATTTATACCAGAAAATCTTTTCCCGTGAAACAAAGAGTGTTTGTCTGACTCCTCTACAACTTCCTGTGCCACAAAACATGTGGAAGCCTCTCTTGAGCACAAAAGGGTAGGGGCTGAAGCTAAAATAACAGTCTCCAACCAGAGTAAGTCCATCCCAAATAAAAACCCGTCACAGCTTGACATCTCAGAGAAAACATAAAATGGCCAAAGATACAAACCCACCTTTCAACCCAAATCCCTAAGAGCTTCAGTAGAAGGAACTACAGGACCATTCTTGGGTAACAGAGGCCTATCACCATCTCCTCTTCACAGAGGAGAAACTGAGGTATAGAGAGAGGACCTCTAAGGTCAAACCATGGGACAGAAGTAGAGCCAGGAAGGTAATGCCAGGAGACCTGACTTCTAGTTTACAGATCTACATCACAGAACCTGAAATATCACCAGGACAGTAACACTGAAATCTCACCACTTATACTGCCAGACCAGCTTCTCCTGCAATCCCATCAGCCTTCTTGTGACAGAAGTTAATTCTGTTTGATTCTTTCCCTCCCCAGGAGGGATTATCTGGACACAACAAATAGCACACATGAGGACACTAGCTCTTTTCTACCAACAGCAGAGAACTGGTTACCAAAATAAGCCTCACAGCAGGCTCCATCTTGATCCCTCTGGAGTCACTGAACCTTCTTCTGTTGACTTCAGCAGGAGCAAGGGTCAAGCGCAACAGGCGGCAGCCCGCCAGCAAATCAGAAATTTTGCCCGTGCAAAATGGACACCTATCCCAAGCACAGCCTGCCACAAACCTCTGGCAACACACATGGAGCCTGTCACACCAATAAAGTTACAGAAATTGAAACTGACTGCTACGAAAAGAAAAAAAAAGGCCAATCTGGGCCCACACTGCTGGAGCCCTCTGCTGACCTCCGGCTGGAATAACGCTGAAGGTCACAGCCCGTGGGGACCCTGCAAGAAGTCTGCCAGACCCTGCCATGCAACAGGTGATCTGCTCTGCTAGGTAGGTAAGGGGAAAACACGGTCAGGATGGTCTTAAAGCAGGTGATGATCACCTCAGCCTGAAGGTTCCAAAGTGCACAGCCCTTTTATCCCACTGCTGAACTGAGGACTGCGGACAGAAGCCAACCTCCTGACACACACAGGGCTTCACTAGACAGGGAGCTCGCAGGAGGCGTCTCTGACTAACCCAGGGGCTGACTGCCCTTTTGGTCTACATTTACTTGCATGAACCAACGAGGCAGGGGACACTGTCACAACCTGGCCTTTGGGCAGCCAGAAAGACACAAGATCACAGCAGCTGCAGAGGCACCACCTTGTTTCCTCACCAGGCAATGATCCTGTGCATAGTGGACCACCACGAACCAATTGCTAGGGCCTATCAGTTCATAGTGCTGTTCCCTAAATCTGCTAAGTCTGCTAGCCCAAAAGAGAATAAGAAGGTGTATTTTTCAAGCCTGGCTCTTTACAGTTCTTAGCAATCTCCTGACTGTGGGGATACCTGGGACTGCTGGGAAGCATAAGCCCAGAAAATCATCCTGGAGTGCCCCTTTCTCCTTCTCTTCCTCAGAGACCTGCCGTCTGGGGGCTGCTCTGGCCTTTGTTCGGGGATCAGCCCTGGCCACCCAGCCGGGCATCACCAGCGCCGCCGGGAAAGAGGCGGACAGCAAAATTTGACAAATCCCTTCCTACAGCACTGTGGCGAATCCCCAGCAAACTGCTCGGCGCTGCTCAGCTCTTTGTGTGCGCCCGTGTGTGTGCAGATATATATAAATATATATATATATAAATGAGCGTGCGTATGTGCCCCAGCGCACGCACGCAGTTTCCCTCGGAGTTGTGGTAAGCCAGGGGCGGGCTGGGCCAGCCCTGCTGCCCGCCCTGGCACCGCGGCCGCCCCGGAGCCCGGCCCCACGGCCACCCCCGACCCGGCCCGGCCCGGCCCGGCCCCGCGGCGTGGGGCGGCGGCGCCGCGGCCTCCACCAAGGGGCTGATGGCGGCGGCGCCTCCCGCCGGCACCCCCGGTCCCGCTCCCCGGGAGGTGGCGGTGTTGCCCGCCCGCGGCTCCGGGGGCTCCTTCCCCCCCAGCCCCCCCGGCCGTCCCCGCCCGCCGGGAAGCCGCCCAGCGCTTACCTTCATTGGGTTTCCGCTCCCCATCCCCCAGGGCAGGCGCAGCCTTCGACAACTGCAAAGACAACAGAAAATCGGTCACAACATGGAACCGTGACGCGGTCCCGGGGCGCGGGGGGTCCCGGGCAGGGCCCCCGAGGGTCCCGTCCCCGTCGTCCCGCCGGGCGAGGGGAGCCCCGGCGGGAGGGGGCGCCCCCGAGGCGGAGCCGCTCGCCGGCGGGCACAGAGGGACCTTTTGTTCCCCGGGAGAGCCGAGAGGGGCACGGGCGGGACGGCCCCGGGCTGGGGGACGGGGCTGGCAGGGCGCGGTGCCGGGCCCGAGAGAGGCCCCGAAGAGAGAAACGCGTCCCCGGGGGGCTGCTGTCAGTGACCACCGGCAAACACCGGCAGCAAATGCGAGCCCGGCAGAGAAAAGTAACGGGGTGACCTGCTGCTGCTGCTGCTGCTGCTGCTGCCGACACGACCGGGCACCGGTTCTCCCCGTAAAGGTGAATCTGGCCCGGGAGGGCAGAGCGGGGAGAAGGGCTGCCAGGCACGGAAGGGCATCGCTCCCCCTCAATGTCACAGATGTCCCGTCACCCAGCAGTGGTGGCCACGGAGGTGTCGGCATCCGCCCGGGTGTCAGGGCGATGAACAGTGACAGCACCACTTTGCCGACGGACGCCGCCAAACCGCCCGGGTTTTCTTCCTCTCTGATGAAAGGGAGGGCGACGCGCCCTCACCTACTGGTCCCAGTTCCCAGCCCCTGCGTGGATCCCATTCCCGCGCTCCACAGCTTCCCCTGGGCCAAAACCGAAAAGGCTGCAAGCTCTGCAGTCACTCCTGCTGCCCTTTGGGACTAGGGACATTTCCAAAGCACTGATGCAGGCAGGAGTGGTGACAGGTAGCCCACCCCCAAAATGGTATGAAGAAATATTACACCACTTTACTAAGGAAGTATTTTTAATTCCAGGTGAAACAAGAACGCGACTCTTCCTGCTCTTCGTGAGGGCTTTAGCTCTGACGTAACTTTCCAGCCAAGTCAGGCTTCCCCCTGCTGTTCTGTTCTGAACCAAAATGGAAAAGGCCCAGCTTTCTTCACTTCTCTGAGGTATGTTGCCACCTGTATGATGCCATCCGCCACAGAACCTGCAGCCTTTCAGCAGAGGCTGAAAGAAGCCTGGGAGACCATACAAAATACTGCTTTGTCAGCAATATGCTGTTAGAAAAAGCCCCTCTGATCTTGTAGCTGAAGACAGAACTGAATTTAGGCCAAGTTCACCCCAAGCTCACAACAGGAATCTGCCACCTATGGTCTTGTAAGCAGTCCTGTGCACAGGGCAGCACCACCATCCAAGCAGCCAAAAGTGTCAGCTTTTAAAAGGAGGGGGCAAGAGAGCCAGCTAGAAGCCCCTCTCCCAGACATTCCTTTGTGTCTGTGCACAGCTCCCTTTGTCTAAGGTCCCCCTGACCGAACTTGTTTCTCATTTCAACCAAAGTCTTTCTACACCTGGGCATAACTTCCCAGCTCAGACCTGAGCTGCCCCATGTGTTGATCTGTTTCTTTTCTGGGGAGGAGGGGGCTGTGTGCCCAGTCTCAGTGCTGTGACAACACTTTAAAAAGCAGGTTCCTAGAAACAGTTTCATTCCTGAAGTGTGAAGGTCACTGCAACAGCACAAACAAAATGGAGGCAGCGGAGGCTGTAGCGGCCTTCCAAAGCCTCTCAGTGCTGACAATCTATGGGTAAAAAGAAAACCGCATCAAGGGCAGAAAAGCCTCAATCTGCTATGGCACAGGAAGAGGATCATGAGCCAAGTCAGTTTATTCAAGTCACAAAGCCCCCAAGACTTTTCACAGAGGGATTTCTGGTTCACACACAAAATGACCATGACAGACTGAGCAAAATTAGCTTGGAGACGCCTTAAAGGTAATTTTTACCCATTCTCTAAGCAAAACTACTCAGTCAGCTGCCCACTGCCTCTCACATGCAAGCACACAGGCTGCACAAGTGAGCCACACTCTTTTGCTACTCACTTGCACGTAGCCAGCACCTCGCCCTGCCCCTGATGTAGTGGAGCAAGAGACAGAACACTCTCGCAGTGCTCACCTGGACCTAGGATGTGATCTGACCCCAAAGATGGGAAACGAGATTGGTGCAAAGTGGGCAAAGAGCTTCTGAGCTTTCCCAGGGGAACCTCTCAGCAGAAACTAGAAAGGTTTCCCAGAACTATCAGTAACACGCTCTCTGCTCACTATTCCAAGAAACTTTTCTGCCCTTTCAGCAGTGCCTTTCACCTGTGCCTCATGCCCTCAAAGCACATCCACTAGAACAGCAGGTGAGGCAGGGCCTTGTGCCTCACTTCAAAACAGTCTGCTGCATATCAGACATGGGGAACCAAAAACATTCCTCAGGACAAGCAGGCCAACTGTGCCCTTCGGTAGGAGCCTGAAGGTCATGCTCTCCTCTGCTGGCTTTTGGCATTACCCAACAGTTCTGTAACACAATTTCCTTCCAATAGATTTTCAACATTTCACAGTAGTATGGAAGCAGCCCCTGGCCTGGCCTTGAGAGTAGGATAAATGAGCCCAGGAATAGAGCTGACAGAGGAAGCTCCTTTCTGTGCTTTTTGTGGGTTGTAGCAAATGCACATCCCTCACTCTGTGGGGTAAAACCTTCCCTAACAAATTAACCCACTTTACACCATCCATGTGTCTGTACCTTTCCTGTCTCCCTTCTCCCCCAGTCCCTGTCCAAAGCAAGCTTTTCTCTGAAGGGAGAGAAAAGGTTAATCAAGTCATTCCTCTCTAGCCATCACCCCCCTTACCACCACCACCAGCACTCTTTCTCTCCCTTCCCCTCCCCCTAATCTGTGCAGCCTCATTAAAAGAGCTTTGTAACTGTTTAGGACTGGAACAAACAATCCATCCACTTTGAGAGGGACTCTGGGACAGGAGTTAAGGCACTTTTCGTCTTAGGCACTAGAAATTCTCAGCGTTTTCTGCTTAGGAGAGGGGGGGGAATGGGACTCACTGCACTCCATCTCCATTGTACATGCAGACAGAGGTCAGTAATCCTGCAAGCTGCAAGCACAGCCAAGGCACCTCTGACAGAACAGACAGGAGAATGGATTTGGGGTTGCTCAGGAATCAGTGAGCCCCTCAGACATCCCTCTCCCCTGCTCCCAAAGGAGTTTTCCTCTTTCCAGCCCATCCTCAGAGCACAGGAACGGCTCTGGGGAAGGTGACCTGCTGCGTCCCAGCTGCCTAAGAGCTGTGGAAGCAGGTTCTGGTGGCTCCCCATCGTGGCGTGGTGCAGAGGCACAGCAAAGGCAGGCAGCCTGGTGGGTGTACGATCATTAACAGTCTAGTCACAGGCTTGTTCTCCCTCCCTCAGTGTCTGATCACTGCCTCTTCCCTATGGCAATACAGCTGGTATATCCAGGTCCCTCTGCTGCTCAGGGCAGGAGGGGAAGAGCTCCCAGACCATCATCAGGAGTGACCTGTCACCAGGCTGGCAGCGAGACGCACAGATGAAGAATAATCACTTGTCCCCCGTTCTGTAGCAAAGGGAGGACTGGAAGCGGACAACAATGCAACCTCTCTAATCCTGTGGTTCCTGAGGACTGTGCACAGCGTTCAGCACAATCAGCTGGAAGGGTGGCAGTACAAAAGTACCTTTCCTTCCCTTGCCTGCTTGGAAAGGTTATCACCACCAGTGGAGGCAGACACCTGTGGCATCAATGCTGCCCAGACCCCACCATGAAACCCTTTCCCACCATCCCTGTCTTGCTGCAGGAGCAACCATAACAGCTCCCTCAGTAAGGAGTCATTCCCCTGAAACTTCACCAGAGGAGCACCGTGATTCCTTCATCCCTCTCTTTCACTTCCAGGAAAGCTACCTGACACATGCTGGAACCTGCTTCCCCAACTCAGACTCTGTCGGGGCTTTTATTTAATGCTCTCTAATGCGCCTGGCTAACTAGATAGATCAGCCTGACAGCCAGATAAATATTATCATCAAAGCACAAACCCTAGTCCCGTGTGAAGAGTCATGCCTTTTGCCATGTTCAGAGTCACCATCAAGCTGCCTACGTGAGATCTGCTGGTATTTCTAACGTTCCCATCACCGTGGTGCCCGGACAACCAACGGACAAATAAGGACAGAACTGAAGGGCAGATCTGACTGTCGATCTGCCTGAGCACTTATATAGCCCACATCACCCAGGTACCTGAACCTCTACCCATCTCTCATGTCTGTCCCTCTCACATTTCCCCCCAAACTCCTGTAATTCTTCCCTACCATTTTTGCCATCGTTATACTGTTTTCTCATCCGTACCATCTTCCAGCCCCGGAGAAAAAGCAGCATGAGGTTTTTATGCAACTCCTGAGGACAGACAGATCTCGACTCTACCTGATCCGCCGTTTCCTCTTCTGGGGAAGAGGAAGGGGAGGGGAAAAGGAACAAGGGGAGGGTTAAAGGGTGTTATCACTGGACACCGATACAGAGTTGTCTATACTATAGGTGGAGAACAAATGCTACTGTACAAGTTTACAGAGGAGCAGGGAGGCAAAGAAACCTCTATTCTGGGTGAAGGTGGAAAAACTCCTGGAGAGCAGAAGCAACTGTCTCACCAGCCAAATCTGGCAGGAAGGCAGCAGGGACCTGCTCTGCGCCACACTCAAGAGTGCTTCTCAGTTCCCATCGAGCACAGCCGAGCACAGCCTAATGTGCGGCTGTCACTGGATAAAGTAGAGATATAACAGGCTAGAAACAAAGCGTGCAGTGCTTGCATGACTTCAGTTACAGCTGAAATGGCTCCTAATTGGGGAGTTGCCTTCCAGCATCGGTGCTGAACAAACAATGTGAATAACTGATTAGTTTGCAAGCGACGTCTATTTTCACGATTGTGGGAGACGATCTGGCCTGCGCTCTCTCCAAGTGCCGAGCAGAAATGGCAGGAGAGAACTAACCTGTTATAACCTTTAAAACGTAATCCATGCCTGCCTCGCGAACAGCCACTTTCACGTGGGCACTCTGTCTAAACCCCTTAATATCTCTTGGCAACACAGCCCTCTTGACTCTTTAGAAAACAGATTTATAGGACAGGTTTGCAAAGAAAGCTGCCCTTCTTTTTTCTTCAAAAAGAGGAAAGGAGGAAGAGTTGGTTTCTAATTCCTCAAGAATGACAATGAGGTAAAAGTGACTGAAGAGGAAAAGAAAAATCCTTCTTGTAATCTCGGTACAGGAGATCTGTATTTTGATTTTTTTTTTCCCCCCCAATCTGGAAGAAATTCTGGGTCCATTTTGTCCTCTTTGATCTCTTATTTGTTTTTCCAGCTAGGCATTTTGAACTCCACTCGGCGGCACGAACCCGAGCCGGGACCCAAGGCAAATATCGCCGAAACAGCCTTTTGCAATGTCAGGAGACCCGAGGCTGATGCAAGAAGGCAGCGCGCTGCCTCCCTGCCCCGCACCCGCCGACCGCACCGCCCCGGTCCCGGCGGGACCCCCTCAGCCGGGGCGCGCTCATGTGCGCGGGCACTCGGCACGGCGCTGCCGCTGCCCCGGGGCCCCGCGGAGCTCCCTCCGGGCAGCGCTGTCCCCCGGTGCAGCACCGCACGCACGCACACGTGTCTGTGCTGCGGGCACCCACCCGCACCCGGCGCCAGCGGCGCGGCCGCACCGCACCGAGCAGGTGGGAGGCAAAGGGGGGGGCGCGAGAAAACAAAAAAAAAGGGGGGAAAAGTATTTTCGGCCGTCTGCCTTCCCTCCCCCTCCGCTACGCGGGGCACAAAAGCCCCCGTCCCGCCGCTTACCTCCGCGCTCTGCAGATAGAGCAGCGCCGCCAGCCCCCAGCGGATCCAAGTGAGCAGAAAGTTCATGGTTGCCGGCGCACGCCGCGAAGCGGGGCCCGCCGTGCTCCGCCTCGCCGCCGCCGCCCCGCCGCCGCCCCGCCGCGCTCTCGCCCGCGCCTCCTCCGTGCCCGCCGCCGCCTCCTGGGGTGCCGCCGGCCGGGCGCTGCGAAGGGTTGCGGAGAAAGGGGGGCTCCTCTTCGGGGTCTCCGGTTTCACCCCTCCATATGCCCGGCTCTCCGCCGGCTCCCGCTGCTGCTTTCCGTGGGCGCTCCGCCGGGCCGAGCGCAGGCTCCGCGGCCGCCCTGCCGCCGCCCGGCCCCCGCCGCCGGGTAGTCCGAGCTCCACAGCGGCGCCCGTCCGCGGCGCTCTCCCCGCGTCGGGGCAGGCAGGCACCCGCGCCGCGCTCGCTCGGTTTCGCGCACTCACGGCAAAGTTTGCGCGGAAACTTTCAATGCATCTCTTTTCCTGCGCCCCCTCTTCGCGGCGGCTGCCTCCGGCGGCTCCCCGAGCCGGGGTCGCCTCCCCGGGGGGAAAGAGGCTGATTCCGCCGCTGCTCGGCCCGACCCCTCTCCGCAAATCGGGGTGGTGGTGGCGGAAAGGACGAACAGAGCGTTTTCCTCCTGTCCTCTCTGTTACTGTCTCTCCCTCTCTCTGTCCGCCGCTTAAAAAAAAAAAAATCAGAATAGTAATATATGGAAAAAAAAAAAAAAAGGACAAAAATCCAAGCTGGATAGAGAGGGAAGGATCTGGGGCGTGGGAAGGCTCTGTAGGAAAGGGAGGAAAAAAAAAAATCCCAGCGGATCAAAGTATAGGTGGGGAAAAAAATAAATTAAACGAGAGGATAAAGCAAGGCGGCAAGCTAACAGCAGGTCCCGGTGCCCGGGGAGGGCTGCTCCCGCGGCGCGCTGTCCCCCGCCGGCACGGCGTGCGCTCCTCGCCCCCGGCGCGGCGGCAGCCCCGCTCCGCGCACTCCAGCGGCGGCTCCGCGTAGCGCCCGCTCCCCGCGCAGCGCCCGCCCCACCGCCCGCCGCTCGTCAGCACTCTGCAACTGAGCACAGCGGCCACGGGGAGAGACGCTCCGACAAGCCCCACCTCCTCGGCCCTGGCCCGGCCTCCTTCCCGCCCTCAAAGCTGGCTGTACTTCCATGGTTCTGTACGGCCGGCGCTTTAGCTCCACGAACATTTTCGAAAACCCAGCTCCCTGCCCTGCTTTCTCGCCGCGCTTTCTGCCATGCCGATGGATACACGTTTGGGTCAAAATTCACTTTGCCCGTGGGAATTGTTCCAAAGTCCAGCAGAGTCATTTGGGGAGAGGGGCGGCGGGGGACAAATTGTAATCACAGCCATCATCTGAGCATCCCCCCTCAGGACTTGGCTTTTCAGATACAGTGATTTCTTAGCACCTATGTGTTAAAGGGCTGAAGGAGCGTTATCCTCAGGTGGGTTTTATTTCTCTTAACCCAGTGCTATTCTCCCGTGGCTCAGGGGTCTGCCTGTGCTGGCTGAGCGGTGCCCGGGTGTGCAGACGGGTTCCATACCGAAGGAGTGAAGGTTTTGCCAGACAAACCCCACCCTGCTTTCTGAGAAGGTATTGGAAGGGCAAAGAGGCAGCTTTGTCTCACTGAGTTTGGTGCGGGCATTCCGCAACTAAGCTACTTGGTTCCTGTCACACAGAACATTTCATACGGCATACATTGTAACAATATGCCTGTGTCAACATACATCCTTCTCGTGCTTTCATCCTCCTAGGACCTGATGTGGCAGGTGGAGTGGAGAATCCCAGGGCAGATCCCAGGGCTCACCATGGGCTGGAGGGAGGGGTAAAGGGAAAAGACACTGAAGAAAGAAAAGGCTATATTGTCATTTAAAAGCAGGTATTCCAATGCTATGCCACGGACTCATAGTGATACAGGCAAAGGATTGACTCTATAGAGGCACCTGCTGGCTGAGAGAAACACAAGAAAAAACCCCACCCCCCTAAAAAAGAAGAATTCTTTGCTTTCGGTAGATCTTAGACCTGTTCATCCCTTTGTTTAATTTTTAAAGATTTTGTGTCACCCCTTGGTGCAGTATGTGGGGATGTTGCCCTGGTCACACTGATCCTGAGGAAGGCTGGGCGGAGAGTGATAGGTCTGCCTGAGCAAGGGGCAGCTGCCTTCTGGCCCCTCCACTGCCCCAGCTGTAGGTCACACCCCACACCCCTTGTACCCACAGCCTTCCATCTCGGCAGGGGTAGAAATCCATCCCAGTCAAAATCCTGAAGGAGAATATAAACCCTTTCTCCTCAAGGAACACGTTCCTACAGCGGAGTGGCGGGTGTTGTTCAAACATTGCAGAATAGTCCCTTTTCCTTCACTTTTTCTGTTTGTTTTTTTTTTTTTTTTTTTTTGCAACTAATCTCATAAATTAAGGCTTAAATTGCTCAAAACTCACTTTTTTTTTTTGTTTTTTTTTTTTTTTTTTTTTTTACAAATTGTTGGAGAGGGTTTTTAAAGAAACAAATACCCATACAAAATAACTGGAGTTCCCCTTATTCAGGATGCAATTACCAATAATCCCTTCCAAGAGACAGGGAGAATTCAACCTCCCCCAGGAAAAAGAGGGGATATTTAATTAACTGAAGGTAAAGCAAATTTAAAGTTCCCAGAGGCAGGGACCACTTCCGACTGTCCCAGTTCACTGTGAAACTGAACGCTCCGTCTTTATGCCAGGCCTCTGCACTTTAGACCAGCAACAAAAAGATCAACTCACTCAATCCTTTTATTTGGTGGAAGGTCTTAGGTGCCTTTTCCCCTCGTGCTAGATGAGTGTTCCATGAATGAAGGTAGCTCTACTGCAAATAACTTCCAATTCTAACACTCCTCTGGATGGACATAATCCCTCTCGTTGCTGCTCTGAGAAAAGTTCCTCACAGAAAATATTAAATCCATGAGTGGCAAGGGGCAGCCTTATCCCTGTAAAGCTACAAGGTACTGTAAATAATGTACAGAACCCAGCTTCTAAAATTACCACTATGGGATTGCTCATCTCGTTTTACGTTTCATCTGGATCCTGTGATCTTCCCACCTGCCAACATCCTGTTACCAGGAGAGCAGTGTATGTGAAGTTTGTGCAAATGGTCATGTACTTGCTGAATTCTGGCACCAGCAAGGACATTCATGTGCCTTCCATGTTAACTTTACACCGTAATAAATACTGACATTGCTAGAGAATCTGCAGTGTTCGTGCTAAGCACTGCTCACCAAAAAAGCAAATCTGTCTGTGTCCCAGCTACGCTTCTTTATTAGCCTTGTTACGCTCCCATGTCCATGCCCCCTGAGACAGAAAGAAAGACAGCATCAACAGTCAGGATTTTAAATATGGAATACCTAAAAGCACCAGCCCCATGTTTAGGAACTTAAGGAAAGATGCGTGATTTGCAAAGAGGCAGGGTGGTGACTTATTTGGAGCTGTGAGACACTGAGAACTTTTAAGAATAATTTAGGACTTTATCTTGCAGATTGAACTCAGTCAATGTTTTGGCATTGACTTCAAAGGGCATAAGATCAAGCCTTATTTAGTGGCTCAAAATACAAAATTAGGAGCCTAAATTTAGGCGTCCATATTTTAATACCTTGACCTGTGTTAGTAATACCCTTCATCTAATCCCTCTATTTAACCCGAAAAGAGACAAATGTCAATAACTGACTTGCCTAAGAGAACCTGTGACAAGAAAATGCATTACCCGCACTTCGTTTATTTTTAATCCCCTCCCTGAGAGCCCCAAAATAACAGCCAGAGCAATGTTAGTGGAGGAGCTCAGAGTCACTTTGAAACTGGAACAGGAAATGTGAGAAATGTGGACATCAAAAAACAAATTAAACAAAACAATATTTTCTTAGTATTCCATCTTGTGGGCAGGTCCGAGGGGATAATCCAAATTAGGAGAGAAGTCAGAGAAACAAAAAGAGTAATTTTAAGCATTTTAGTGCCAGAGCTATTTCTTAACACACAGCTCAGTCACTGATTTCAAATATAGTCCCTCAGTGCAGAGCGTGGAGGACAGCACAAGAAAAATCAACATTTTGGTACGGCCTTCTAGCAGATACAGAAAAAAGGCTAGAATGTAATGAACTGTTGAGAGAAGCAGCCAGGTGAACCGATCCTAAACATCCTGAGGTATTTCAGGTGTTTCTTTCCCTGTAAGAAATCATGGGGACACAAGATGCAGTAACCAATCTATGGCCAAGTTGGATGCAATGGTGGCAAATTGGTGAATCAATTAACTGTATGAGTCCTATTATTGTGATTATTTTTGTGTCGGTTGCTCTAACAGGGAAGGGAGCAGCTGTAGGTATAACAAAAGGTTGCTCCTCCGAGATGCGAGATGCGATGCTCCCTCTGCTGTGATGCAAATAGAATCCATGTGACGGGTAAGGGCAGCGCTCAGCTCGGATCTGCAAGCATTAGAGATGCCCATGCACCACCCACTGGCAGTTTCACTTACCTCTGTCACTCAGGAGTTTCCCAAAGATCTTCAGCTTCTGGAAAGAGAGAAAAATGCTCATGAATGCACAGCACCATCACTCATTCTGTTCTTCTGGGTTGATTTTGTTCCCTGGACGCTTTCCTTTAGTCAATAATCACATCATGTTATGAGGAGTTGCATCCCTTTCCTTACTCTTTGTCTTTTTCCTGTCACTGACTGGATCTTTGTAGCATCCTTTTGCAGCAAGCAGCAGAGGCAGTGACAAGTGAGTGGAGGTAACAGGACAGGTCCTCAACGGTCAGCAGGATTGTTTTAACATCTACAAAGAGATCAAGAAACTCAAAACAGCTCTTCCTGCCAAAACAATATGTAATGTCAGCTTAAGGGTACAGTCATCTTGACCCTGGCTTATATTTCCCTGGCTAATAGATCTGGTAGGAATATACACACACACGGTTTTTGTGATAGTACTTCACCTTACACTTACATCACATTCCCTGGAGAAGTATCTGATGGGGCAGCCTTACTTATTAAATCATTTCCTGGAGGGAAAATTAATTTGGGCTCATTTATTATCATTTGTCCTGGAGCTCAT